GAATTAAATGCATATGAAATACGTCAATAAAATCTCTTGGAACGTAATAGGACCATTATGCCTTTGATTAAAGTCATGAAATAAACTTTATCAATTTACGTATTTTCTGAGACCCATGAACAAATGATGGAATAATAAGACACATGCGGAATCAAAAATATAGACACCCCTAGTATTTCTATGAATAGAGTCATTTATGAAAGTTGCGTATTTTGCTCGTTTCATTTGTATCATTTGGATCATGCCAAAAAGAAAGAAGGTATAGCCTTAACATACCTGAACCGATTCTCTTGACAATCCCTCTAACACACGTTAATTGTGACGAAACACGTGATGGCGAGATCAAAATAGGGAACAATCCATATAATATTCTTGAGAAAGATTGTACCGTACTCCCTTAGAATCTCAAATCTCACGTTGCTATAATATTAAGTAGTCTTTGTATGGAACATTTGAAGCAATTACGTTACCATTGCCAATCAACATCTTTCCTAAAGTTCTGTCACGTTTTGCTATTACATAATTCCAAATTGGGTTGCTGCTACCTCCATGTACATAATGTTAATACTAATTCAAGAATGGAATTATATGATTTCATAATCATTCTCACAGTGGCTTTCATCCGTTAGCAAGGAAACATAAGATCTTAATCTTAATGATATGGGAAGGTCTTTTAAGATCATGGTTTGTGGCCCCCACTTTGGATGACTTAGTCACCAAATTCTTCTTAATATGTGCCACCTTTTTACATGACTTAAGAGTCATTTCTTGGCTTGATTCTTGGGCTGACACGTTGAGCATAGGGATTTCATTAAGCTTATCCAACAATTATCCCCTTAATTTCTTAATTACATGGTAATCTTCCACTAACAATCAATAATTACCCAATTATCCACATAATTAAGAATTATCTCAAATTACTTAAAATACTACTCACTTTCAACATACCTTATACATCTTACTATCATGGTCATGTAGTACCTTGTATGACACTAGTCCATAAATACGGGGTATTATAGCTTGGACCGTATTTTATCACAAATTGTCAAATTTCGATGAAACTTATTTTCTTTGATTCGTTTACCCTTTCACCTTCATGAATTTACTCATCATTTGTTTGAAATTGCATAATACTTATAATCTCCAAATAATCTTTTCCTTGAACTGATGTCAATTATCTTACGACAAATTCAACGTACAACACTACAGGGTGTAACATCGTCGTAATAAATTACTACGGAGCGTAACATCGTCGTAATAAATTACTGCGGAGCGTAACATCGACGTAATAATACGAGGTGTAACAATTTTGTCTGTTGAATTCTATGTTTTTGAAATAATTTTTGGCCCGATCACTTAGAAACTCTCGAATGTGCCCTTCATTGAATAACCGGGCTACTTTTTCTCTCAACTGTCTGCAATCTTCCGTTCTATGGCCATGGGTGCCATGATACTTGCACACTTGACTGGGATTTCTTTGGGCTGGATCGGTCTACATAGGTCGAGACCATTTAGTATCCTTGATGTGTCCGATAGCTGATACGATAGTGGATGCATCAACATTGAAGTTATATTCTGACAATCGTGGTGCTTCCTTAGGTCTGGTATGCGCGTCGAAACCATTCTTACTTATGAGCCTTCGAGAGCTCTGGCCTTGATCATTTCTCCTTTCATCTCGTACGGGGTTATGCACAGGTTCGTTGCTCCTACGATCTCTATTATACGGCTGATATCGATCACTGTTCGGCCTTGGTTCTCGATCAATGTCCCTTTTGGTAACGGACTCAGAAGGAGCCCCTAGCTGGTCGTCTTCGACTCTAATCTTTGATTGATATCGATTATGTACATCGGCCCAGGTAACAGCCGGGTACTCAATCAAGTTTTGCTTCAGCTGTTATGAAGACACTGAGCTTCGTTCATTCAGCCCTTGAGTGAAAGCTTGAACGGCCCAATCATCGGCGACCGGTGGTAGATCCATTCATTGCATTTGGAAACGAGACACAAACTCTCTGAGCATCTCGTTATCTTTCTGCTTTACCTTGAAAAGGTCCGACTTCCTAGTCTCAACCTTTATGGCTCCAGCGTGTACTTTTATAAAAGAATCTGCAAGCATGGCAAAAGAATAGATAGATTTAGATGGTAAATTATGGTACCATATAATCGCTCCCTTTGATAGGGTCTCCCCGAATTTCTTTAGTAATGCGGATTCGATCTCGTCGTCCTCTAGATCATTCCCTTTAATCGCACACGTGTAAGAGGTAACATGCTCATTGGGATCAGTCGTTCCACTATACTTAGGAATCTCGGGCATGCGGAAATTCTTGGGTATCGGTTTGGGAGCCGCACTCGGGGTGAAAGGTTTTTGTACGAACTTTTTGGAATCCAAACCCTTCAATATTAGTGGTGCCCCCGGGATTTGATCAACCCTGGAGTTGTAAGTTTTCACCTTCTTGTCGTTTGCTTCGATCTTCTTTTCCCTGGATTCAACTCGCTTCATTAGTTCCTCGAGCATCTTCATGATTGCGGGATCGGTCCCCGATTCATTTTCGTTCGATTTTCTTGACATCGATTCGACCTTGTGAATAACTTCTTGGGATGGCTTGAGCTCGATCCTGCTTGGTGAATGGTTCTGGTTTCGAAATTGTGCTATCGTGGCTTGTTGAGCCTGCAACATCTCGAAGATCATCCGAAGGCTGATTCCGTCTTCTTCGCCGCCATTGCTCTGAGCAGCCGATCGAACATTCTTGCGTACGCTATTCTCGGGATCGACGGCCAAATTTGCATTAATGGCTACATGCGAGCCGACGTCGATCGGAGTTGTCATTTTCATCATGGTGACCGAAGTCATTGTCCACGTGTATGGGTTGTGCCTGAGAGTTCGACATGCTGATCCTGGAATCAAAGATACTCACAAGAACAAGTACAAAATAGTGTGTGTTACGAGGGTTAGTACCACGCAATCACTATTATCCTTAGCCCCACGGTGTGCGCCAAATTGTTTACCCGAAAAATGGATAACAATTGAATTTATACGTGATTTTAAGGATATGTGATATAACTTGGTATGAATTGAGAATATATATATATATATATTGAAATTAACTGTAAAAGAAATAAATGCAAACCAAATGAATTAATTATCCTTGGCCCTCAAGTTCGATCACCCTCAAACCAAGTGGAGAATAAACTGACTCGAGAACAAAATGACTAAATATTAAAAACCAGAAGAAAGGCAGTATATTGCTTTATATTGCATAAAAAATCTCTCCCTCTACAAATGATCAGACCCCCTTTATATAGTAGGGAAGTTCTACTCTTGATATAATTCTAAATACAGTAAGGAATCTCATGATAGGTTAATTAATTGGCCTTTCCTTAATATGCGTCGGGATTTCCGCCGTGATTCTCGCCCAATTGCGGATATTCCGGCTTTCTGTTTTTTTGGCTCGATAAGCTTCCCCCGGTTTCGCTCGATCTCTATCTTGTTTTGTCTCGATCTTGGACGGTTCCGATCTCGATCGGTCTCTAGGCTACGAGCTCGGCACTCAAACCCCGCATCACGGTTCGATATTGCACAAGTTCGATCCTTGTCCTATTATATTCTAATCTCGAATAGTCATACGAAGGACAAGCTCGATTATGAGCGTATACAAAAATATTATCAACCACTAACTAGCAGGTACTGCATTCTGTTAAGGATAGCTTCTTAAGCTGTAATATCAACCAACAATAAACATTGATCTGTGATCTATTAATCATAGATCTTGAGTCTTGACAATATTGCAATCAAGCAGGTATACAACATAAATGTTATTACTGTATTTAGAGCGGCTAGATAACATTCTTACAGACGGTAACAGTGGCCACAGAAATTATACATTAAACCATTATGAGATTAACTCATTATTCAAAGAAGAGTTGGAACATATGAAAACTAATCTTTTCAAGACTGCATATGCCCAAAATGCAAACCACAAATTAAAGTTTTTCCTTTTCGTGTAATACACTGTATATTTTCTGTAGGACAGAAGAATTACCATCACAAAACTCCATGACGAAAGAACTATCATTCACAATATTCTATGGGGTTTATTTTATTGAATCAAATATGGGAACCCGATTAAACATACTACAGTCAGACATCTATATAACAACATCCATATATATAACAGTCATTCACCATAAAAGCCAAATTTTTCTTAGAACCGATTTTTAAGTTATATTTTACCTCTATAATAACTTTTTACCTATAACAGCAACAACCATATTTATAACAGAACGCTCTTTATAAAATTATCCCTCTATAAAAACTATACAGATTCTTTAAGATTACTAATAATAATTCTAAAATAATGCACACAATCTTTTCCATTGAACAAAGTTTCTATCTTGCATAAGACATAAGATTTGAAGATCTGCATATGATATATTTTCCATTGGATACCTTTTTACTGAAAATTTGGATATATGAATCTTCTCCAATTCAAGCGTTATATCGGTAGTAAGAGAATGAAATTTATGAAATAACTACAACTACAAAGTTCTTTCATCAATCTTGAAAGAATTTATTTTCCTAGTAGCTTTAAAATGTGTGCCTTAGAGTTTAAATCTTTGTACATTTAGTTAATGAATTTATTAATAATGTAGTATTAGCTTTCTTCAATATATACCTAGTAAAATATGCATATCTTCTTAGATTTTAAATTTGAAGAATTTTCTTATCTTTTATATGTACTACTAAAATAAGAAAAATAATTGACTTTTGGATAAGGTGTATAACAGCCAAATAAAAAAAATTATTTAAACGTTAAATGTTGTTATAGGTGTATAACAATCATTCGCTATAAAAGCCAAAAATATTTGGAACAAACGAGACTATTATAGAGAGATTTGACTGTATACAATACACATTAAAAATGAATAAGAATTTGTGAAAATGTTATTGGAATACCTGAGTACAACATCATCTAGAAAATTGTGTCAAAGCAATAAAGCCACCCTCAATTCCATTGCCAAGAGACAAGACTCTCCATGAAAGTTCTAGCTCCTCCATACGGAGTACTTATCCCATCAATATTGCCTATATCTACCTTAAATACAATATCATCACCACTCATTAACAAGGGTGTCAAACTATACACTACATTCAATCCTATAATCCTAAATTTGGTCCAAGACTCCTCAACTCCATACTCTCTCATCATCCAGACATCAATTTTGTTTTCTTCTGGATAAGCGATCTGATAAGCGAGCATACAAAGAGACCCTTTAAGAGCCACAAGATCATAATACCCAACATTGTTGTTATCAATAATAGTAGACGTTGGCACCTCCAAAAATTTCTCATCACTTACATCAAAAGCAACAATCAGAAATGAATAATGAGAAGTTCTACTAGCCAACCAATGCAAAGCCCTATTTACCAAAACCCTAGAATCAAGGTCGTTAAATGAATGATCATAAGGAGAACTCTCAGGTCTCCTCCAAAGACCCTCTCTCATAGAGTAGATATCAACAAAAGTACTTTTAATATCCGGTTCATAGTAGTCATCCTAACGAGAAAGAGTAACCACATTATAATCATCATTTACAAAATCATACCCTAGACTAGACTTGCTAAAGGTACCAAACTCATGAAGAGCCAGATCAAAGTTCAGAATTCTGTGGTACTTTAAGGTTGTAGGGTTGATTGTTGCGACCAAACACACACGCAAGTGTACGTGGCCGTCAAGTAATAAAGTGACTCGAAAGTTGGATATCGAACCCACAGAGACTTAGATTAATCTATATAAAGTGTACTTTGATTGCTCGAGGACGAGCAATGGTTTAAGTGTGGGGTGTTGATGATATGCTATAATTACGTATTTTAGTCGCTTATTACACTTTAATTTACTGCACTTTAATTGAGTTTGAGCTTTAATCGCTAGTGTTTTGCACTAATTGTGTGTTTTATGCCTTGTAGGAGTGATTCCGAGCTATGTAGATGTTATGTAATGAATTAAAGTGATATGGAGCTTTGAAGTCTCAGAAAAAGCCTAAGAAATTAAGACGGGATCATGTCCGGGGATCAAATTTGATAGTTAAGAACGAACGAAGAATCGAGTAAGCATATTGCGCATTGTCTAGTAAACTGCACATAACTTTTCGCTCAGAACTTCACTTGAACTCTACAATATATGGTTGGTAATCTAATACAAAGAGCTATAATTTTTATGTTTTACGTTTTGCCAAATTCCAAACATAATGGGGTGAGAACGGCGCGACAAGTGCGCGACCGCGCACTGGCCGCGGTGAGGCAGAAACTGGCCAAAATCCGCGGTCGCGGACATCCTGACCTGGAAAAGTTTCCTTTTTCGAGTAGGAGAAGGTATAATTATTTGTGCCCGACCCTACTTGGTATATATACATGAAAAATGGTATTTTGAGTACTTTTGACATATTTTTGACACAATTTAGACCTAAGGAGGCTAAGGAGACTGGGGATTCGATCTAAGGAGGCTAAGGAGACTGGGGATTGATGGAACCTTTGGTAGGATGAATTCTTGTTATGTTTTAATATAATTTAGCCTTTGAATTTATCTATTTGTTCAACTACGTACTTATTTCAGTTGATTGAATGACCATCGATTGACTGTGCCTATTTATTATGTGTTTCTTGAGAAAGGATACATATTTAGGTGGTTGTTGAACAACGTTACTCCTAACGTATGTGAGAAATCAATACAGTGGGTTTAAAGGTAGGTTTAGAAATAACAAAGCCTTGACGTGGTCATAGTGAGCGGTTCGATGAAGCCAACTAGCGTAGTTCGAGAGAATATGTCTAGCAAATTATTGTAGTTGCTCGAGAGAGAATTACGACACCTAAAGTGCTCACGATCAGTAGAGAATACATCGGCGAAATTGTTGGGAACATAGCTAGAAGGATTCCGACAATTAGGAAAATCATAACTCTAGACCTCCTTAATTTAGTCTCCAACCCTTTGTCTCGTTAGTTGATAATTTTACCGCTTTCTAGTATTTGCTAGTTAATTCGTTATAAATATAAATCTCAATATTTATAATTTAGAAAATTGTTCAAACTTGTCTACTTAGTGATATTAAAAAGCTATAGCTAAGCCTTAGTTCTCTCTGGGATTCGACTCCGGACTTTTAGACCGGATTATATTTGCAGCGACCGCTTATCCATTTTAGGACTAAAGTTGGGCGTGATCATTAACTAAGTAAACTAAAATTAATTTACTGTTCAAGATAATTAAAAATGTTATTTTTCTACTAAACTACTATTACGAAATTTAAACACGTAATCAAGGGAGATATAGATTCCAAGGTTGTGGTCGGTTTATCAATCCTATTGAGTTTATAATTACACCTGTTAATCCGAATTATCTATTGTTGCTAGTTGACCGGATCATTTATATAAATAGCATGTTCCCACAATACTATCCGTCTATCCATAATATAACAACGTTATATTTCTATGGTATTGAATCTATCATGAACGAATATAATACGTTATTCAACTAAGACTGTTAGGTATATTCCTATCCTAACCGCGAAATCTTTCTCCGAGCCACGGGTTCAGAAATAAGCTCTCTTTAATTCTACTCTAATCTAAACACAGATTTTCCAAGCATAGCATAGATAGTACATAGAACTCAATTGTTAGCCAAACAATTAAGCAATTATGCATAGAATTAGAGAAACAACCAACAATGATAACTTGAATTAACGGTGATGTAATTAATAAAATTCAATATTCATGACAACCACAACCCTAGAACGCGAAGTTTAGCTCCAAAAAACGTAAAGATTACTAAGTTTGATGGAAGAAAGATGGAATCTGATGAATTTCGGCCTCCACGGTGGCTCCGTGTTCTCCCTTGGACTAAAGTATGATATCTCTTTCGTCCAAAATATGTCCCTCCCCCTACCCTTCAAAACTAGGTTTAGAACCCCTTTTATACATGTTGGGGACGTTTAGGGTTGAAATCCCCAAGTCCCAGCCGAATTAAGACAAAATTTTCCCTTTGGCGTTTCGCTTGGCGCCTGGCGCCAACCATGACAACAAACCTTTTTGGTCTTCTGTCTTTGGCGTTTTGGTTGGTGCCTAGCACCAACATGGACAGTGAATATTTTAGCATGCTCTCAACGGCGTTTTGGTAGGTGCCTAGCGCCAATCTGGGCACCAAACTTATACTTCCTCCAAATTCTTCCCTTTTTGACGCCAATTTGCATACAAACTCCCCAAATCACTTCCAATTGACTCCTACACATATAAATAACATTATTAAGCTCTAGTCACAAATATTCACATCAAAGTTAACAAGATCGAGGCATAATGCAAGGCAAATTATATGCAAAAACATGGATGTTTAGCCAACATCATTGAACAAATATTTAATATTTTCCTCAGCCACCACCAAGACCAAGCCATGACATGACCCAGCAATCAGAGAGCTGCCGAAAAAGCTTTCTTGAAATGCCATCAGTTTCGTTTTGGGGGGTTTTGTGGTTAAACGTGATAGTGTGAAAAACATGAGACGAAGAGACGCAAATGAGTTTTTCTTCTTCTTCTTCTTCTTTATGGGCATGGATGGTGAGGTGAAATCTGATGAATTGTGGATCTGAGAGAAGATTGGGCCACTTCTTGAAATGACACGCACTTGCATTGACCTATGAACTTTGCAGGCAGCCGAGAGAATATGTCAAATATGATTTCTTGGGACTTGGGGTAGGGATTCAGCTATGCTCATCGCCATAGTTGAATTTGGATTTGGAATTGGAGGAAACTCTACACTCTACAGTAGTTTTCTTTGACTAGGGTATTTGACTATCTTCCATAGAGAATTGGAAGAGACGGTCAGTTCTCATTCACCATAGAAACGCTAACTGTCAGTATGGTATTTTTGATTTAATGCGCTAATTTATTAATTAAAATGGTTTATATTCTAAAATGCTCCAAGGGATACGCGTTAGAGGTTGGCATAATTTGGACAAATTCGAAATTCGAATTGAAATATGAATTTGAATTTTTTGAATTCATGGATTGCGTGTTGGATTTTGAATTCAATTTTAACAATTTTCACTTTGGATTTCGGATATTCAAAAATAAAATTTTTTATAGTACCGTTATATTTAGTCTTACCTATTAAACATTTATATATCATCTATATGCCGACTTATATGTCCAATACTCTACTCATTAGGTATTGCTCAAATATCCAATATTAATTACTAGGTGAATGTTTGAATACTTACTATTTCGACTATGTTGTACATGTTAATTTTAACGGCTTATTAAATATTATGTTTATGTTGCATTTTCTTGATAATGGTTTTATTGCTTGTATGATTAGTATGATGAGTACTTTATTTGGATGATTTTGGTTGGAATGAAAAAAATGTTAAACCAATTTGATATGAATATTTTTTTTGGTGAGAAGAAACTCAATTTAAAGACTCAAAATCGAACTTAAAAAATTCAATCCAATTCGAGCTTATTTGAGTTTGATTTGGATTGTAATTTTCTTCAATTCGAAAATCGATAATCCAAACTAAAATTTTCATATCCAATTCGAAGTGCCTGAACCCCCATCCATACCCATAGTAAGCGTCATTCACCTCCAACCACAACATTGCAAGTACGAGTCAATAAAGTGTAAAAGATCCGAGCCATGGAGGAAGAAAGATAAATCAGAGAGAGGAGAAGAAGCTTCATTCATATGCTGGAAAATTAAAACTTATCTTACAGAAGCAATTGCCTACAGTTATTTGTACTCACCTGACTTACTCATCAACTAACTAACTACAATTAACGAACTAAGCTAACTCACTAATTACAATTAAGTTAACTCAACAACTGGACCCTATTTCGATTCTTTCTACACTCCCCCTCAAGTTGAGAGAAAAAAAATAAGTTTTTCATTCCCAGCTTGCCTACCAAGTAATCATGTTGTGGACTGCCTAGGCTAATTGTTAATATGTCAGCTAGTTGCTCATTTGTTCCAATATGCTGTGTTTGTATCCTTCCTTCTTAAATATTCTCCCTTACGAAGTAACAATTAATGTCTATATGTTTTGTTCTTTCACGACAACTTGAATGGCAGCTTTGCTATCACAGAATAGCCTGTGACTGGCTTCCCTGTATCTACACAGGCACCCCAGTTAGAATCATCAAATGCAATCAACTTTTGAGTACCAGCTGCTGACATAAATGACCCAAGTCCAGGACTTCTTTTGATATATTTAACTACTTTCACTGCATTATCTAGGTGAGACTGCTTAGGAGCATGCATAAATTGACGCAGAACTTGAACTGCAAAGGCAATGTTAGGCTTTGTCAATTGTCATAGTCAAGTATAGCAGTCTGCCAACTACTCTTTGATAACCACTCATATCTTTAAGCAACCTGTCATTAGCAATTGCATCTCTATTGATCATCTTGTCAAATTCTTTAGAGGTGATCTTGTGATTAAACTCCAATGGAGTGAATACTGGCTTCCCTCGTGATAATCCTATCTCAGACGCTACTCAAGAGCATACTTCATTTGATACATATGAATCTTGTTTCTTGATTTTAAGGATTCAATACCTAGCAAGTTCTTTAACTCTCCAAGATCATTCATCTTGAATCTGATTTGTAAATATTTCCTTGCTTGCTCAATGAGTTCCAAGTTGTTCATAGTTACCAGAAGGTCATCTACATAAACAAGTACAATTACTAAGTCACATCCCTTTCTTTGTGTAAATAGAGAATAGTCATAATGTAACTGTAAAAATGACATATCTACCAATGCCTCTGTTAGCTTTAAATTTCAAACCTACATAAACAAGCACAATCACTAAGTCACCTCATTTTCTTTATATGAATAGAGAACGGTCATAATATGACTGTACAAATCCCATATCTGCTAATACATCTTTTAGCTTAAAATTTCACTGCCTAGGAGCTTGTTTAAGTTTATACAAGAACTTATTAATCTTACATACCTTCTTATACCCCCTGGCTTGAAAAGCCATCAGGAATTTGCATATAAACTTCTTTAGAAAAATCTCCTTGAAAAGAAGTATTTTGCTCATACATTTAAAAGATATACCAATGTGATGAAGTATAGGAACCTTGCCTTGAGGGAATTCAATATTAGTCCAAGTAATGTTATTTTCAAGAGCTGAAATTTTAGCCTTCATAGCATTGACCCAAAGTGGATCCTTACTAGCTTCTGCATAAGTCTTTGGCTCAAGGATAGCTGAGTAAGAAACTACGGATGCTCTGTAAACAGGAGAAAGATGGTCATAGCAAACATAGTTAGATATTTGAAAAGTATATGAGAATTGCTTCTTTTGAACAACATAATCTTCCATCTAAAACTACTGAAGGGGTGGTAGAGCAGGACTTCTGCATTCTGAGTTGACTCTGAGGAAGCAACAACAACAGAAAGAGTAAATGCAGTAGGAGGAGAGGAATCGGGCACTAAGAACTCCAATATTGGAAACATAGGAAAAGAACTAGCCTTCATATCTTTGAAACAAAATATATCTTCATTAAAAATTACATATCTGCTAATAAAGAACTCCTTAGAGTTTGGATAATAGAGATAATATCCTTTCTATGCAGAAGAGTAGCCCAGATGCACAACATTAACTACTCTGGGACAAAATTTGTCAGTCTTATTTACATTTGTGGCATAACACAGACTACCAAAAACTCTGAGGTGCTGCAAGGAGGGAGCTCTGTGGAACAACTATTGTCAAAGAGGCCAACCTTTCAATAGAATAATTGGCAATCTATTGAGAATATACACAACAGTACAGGCACATTTACCCTAAAATCTCAAAGGATAAAAGCCTGAAACTTGAAGGCTCTAGCCATATCTATAATATATCTATGCCTTCTTTCAACCATACTATTTTGCTGAGGTGTGTATACACAAGAGATTTAATGAACAATACCATCGTCCTTAAAAAGTCTATTTACTTGGTCATTGAAGAACTCAGAACCATTGTCTTTTCTAAGACACTTTACTCCATGATTGAACCGATTCTTCACAAAAAATAGAAAAATCTCTCAATACTACAATAGAATTTGCCTGGGTATTCATTTAGAAAAATCCAAGTGTATCTAGAGTAATCATCCGCTAATGTCCTGAAATATCTTCTGGACCCCAAACATCAATATGTATAAGATCACGAGAAAAAACCGAGCAAGTATTACTAGGAGTAAAAGGAAATCTTGATTGTTTAGCAATAGGACAAATAATATATAAATGATCCTTCAACTGTATTTTGCTCAAATCATCTAAATTTTTCAAAACTTTTAAAGGTGCATGCCATTATCTTCTATGCCATAGAGATGTATCACAAGTATCATTATTACCATCAGCCTTATTATCAGTGCTACTATTACTGTTATTAGCAGTACTAGAAATGACATTTACAGATTAGTGATAAAGAAATACATTCTTTATATCAACTGCATGTTGTGAGCCTGTTTGACCTTTGTCTTTCGGAATGTAGAGACCATCCTCTTCTCTATCAAGCCCTATCACCTTCCCACTTGAGAGTTCTTGAAACAAACAGAAACGAAGAAAGAATACTGCATAATATTTTAGCTCCTCAGTAATCTTAGATACTAATAGTAAGTTGTATTTGAATTTTGGGACGTATAGAACGTTTTATCCTGAAAGATAGGAGATTCTACCGACTTGCTAATAGCCACTTGTTCTCCAGTAGGTAAGTGAACTTTGCTCCTACTCATTTATGTCAAGCCCTTCCATTTGCTAAGGAGACTTAAATTGTGAATTATATAATTTGTAGCTCCTGTATATACTATCCAGTATTTATCCACTAGATTAGACATTAGAGCAGTAATGATACATACTTTTCCCACTTGAGCTGCATTAGCCATGAAGTCAACCTCTTTTCCTTTATTCAGTATTTGCAGAATTTGAGTGTACTGTTTTGGAGTAAAAAATTAAACTGGGGATGATGATATAGAGACAACATGTCACCACCTAAAATCTACTAAAAGTCGTGATGGCGCCTAACACCGCTGTCAGGAAAGCCAACGGTGATTAATCAACTTAATTACTCATTTTACTATTTTGAAATCATAATTTTCATTAATTAAATAGTATGAAATAGAATTTACAGGGTAAATGATAATATTTACATGAACTATAGTAATGAACAACCCATAGGAATCCCAAAACCCGGTGTCACAAATGCATGGGCATTTTCTAAAGAGTACAATAATACAACATCTGTCCAAAATGTAAATAAGACATGATAAAATAAATAGTACAGTGGAGACTCGTTGGACTACGATGCGTAACCTGAATTGCAGCTCACATAAAGTTTCCTCAATAGATGCGCCTACGCGCCAAGTGTAACGACCCGACCGGTCATTTTGAGTATTACAGCCTTGTTCCTCCATTTACTATTCAATTTATGCTTTACAATCGTTATGTGACTTGCCAGGGTAATTGGTTCGTGTCCGATGAGGTTTTGGAATTTATTGGAACACTTAGTTCCAAGGTTTAAAACTAAAGTTGAAAAGGTTGACCGGATATTGACTTATGTGTAAACGACTCTGAAATCGAGTTTTGATGATTCCAATAGCTCCGTATGGTGATTTTGGACTTAGGAGCGTGACCGAAAAATTATTTGAAAG